ATCTGATTTATTTTTTTGACATACATCACAGTTCTGCACAAAGATTTTCACATCCTTTCTTATTCCTTTCCAGTAAAACAATGTTAGTAGTCTCTTTAATGTAGCCTCAACTCCTGAATGACCTCCTTGGGGTGTAAAATGTCATAAGTTCATGATGATTTTCCTTAGCTGCAGAACCTTACCAACTACCAACCTTCCCTTCCTTCTTAGCCGGTTGTTACTCCAAGTGAACTGAGAGTGAGATGTTGGATTAGCTTGCAATTGTTCAACTAAGGTTTTCAACTCATTATTTGTTTTCCAACTTTCAACTATAATCTGCAGTAAGTTAGAGTTAGTGGTTGAAATAACCAATGGCATAAGCTCAGCATCATGAATCCTAGATATTGCATCAACCAATTTATTTTTCACTCCTTTCTTGTATCCATTGGCGTAGTCAAAGGGCATTAGCTTAGTTAGCCACATCAACTGTGAATCAGTATGAAGCTTCTGTTACATTACAAACTTCAAAGCTTTTTGATAAGTTCTAATGATGAATTTCTGGCAAGAAGATACTAGGACCATTTGGTAGCTGCATGTACTATAACTAGTAATTCTCTGTTATACACTGAAAGAGCAGCATACCTGGGGGATAAGGCCCTGCTAATGAATGCAATAAAATATCCTTGCTACATGAGTACAACCCCTATGCCATAGCCACTAGCATCAGTTTCCAAAATAAAAGTCTTGTTCATATCAGGAAGAGCTAAGACTGGTACTTTAGACAATGCCTCCTTCAGTTGTTCAAATGCATGTGAAGCTCCTGGAGATCATTTGAAGTTATCTTTCTTGATCTGTCAAAGGTTTGCTAATAATGCCAAAACTTTGGATGAATCTCCTATAATAGCTGGCCAACCCCAGAAATCCTCTTAATTGCATAAGAGTAGTAGGCGTAGGCCATTTCTGCACAGCTGCTATTTCTTGAGGGTTTGTGGATACCCCATCTTTAGTAATAAAGTGGCTTAGATATTCTATCCTTTCAACACCAAAGAAATATTTTCTCTCTTTATCATAGAGCTGATGTTTCTTTATCTCATTGAACACAGATCTTAAGTGTACTAAATGATCTTTCATATTCCTACTGTACACTAAGATGTCATCAAAAAAGACCAACACATATTTTCTAAGAAAATCATGGAAAACTGAATTCATTATGTTGCTGGTGTATTTGATAATCCAAGAGGCATCACCAAGTATTCAAAATGACCTGAATGTTCTAAATGCAGTCTTTAGAATATCTTCTTTTGCCATTCTCCATTGGTGATATCCGGATCTAAGATCAATTTTTGAGAAGATCTTAGAACCCCCCTCCCCTCCAATTCATCTAGCAAATCTTCTACAATAGGTATTGGAAATTTATTCTTTACAGTATACTTGTTTAAGTCTCTATAATAAACACACAACCTCCATGTACCATCTTTCTTCCCCACTAAAACCACATGAGGAGCAAAAGGGTTGTTGCTTAGCCGAACTATTTCTTGATCTAACATCTGTTGCACCAATATTTCAGTGATATCCTTTTTAACAGAAGAATATCTATATGGTCTTTTATTAATAGGTTCAGTCCCAGATTGTAACACAACTTTGTGATCAAAAATCCCCATAGAAAGTGGTAATTGTGTAGGCTCCTCAAATATCTCCTTGAACTCTTCTAACAATTTTAGCAACCTAAGATCTTTTTCATGTTCCCCCTTAGTTTCTAGTGAATACCACTGTAACTTGTTACACATAGCAGGTACTACTTGTATCATGCAGAGTTGTGACTGATTACCTGAGAGTTTTATCAACTTCCCAGCTTCAGAAGTTTGCACTTGCTTCCCTGCACCTTTGAGGACATATTTCCTGCCTTTCTACATGAATTCCATAGTCAGTGTTCTAAAGTTCATCTTGATGTCTCCCAGAGTAAGTAATCACTGCACTCCCAGTACAACTCCACAAGACCCCAAAGGCAGCAGTAGGAATTCTACTGAAAACTCAGCACCTTGAAGGAGCCAGGATATTATGCACATCTTGTTAACCTTTATCATGTTGCCATTTGGATACAGCTACTAATTGAAGCATAGTCTCCTCGATAGGGCATCCCAACTTTTTGTACCAATTCAGGGTCTATGAAATTGTGGGAACTACATGTATCAACTAATATGTGTAGTGGTTTCTTTGAATGATAGCCAGTTACCTTTAAGGTTCTGTATCCCAGAGATCCATTCAAGGCATGAATTGAAATCTCCATTTGTTCCATAGGTTGATTTAACTCCAATTCTGCTCCTTCTGACTTACCAAAACCTTCCTTTTCCTCAGTGATTTCCTCCACCTGCTGTTCTAATTCTAACAGATATAGTTGTTTGAAATTTTTACACATGTGATCAGGTGCATACTTCTCATTGCAGAAGTAACATAATCCTTGAGCCCTTTTTTATTTATTTCTTCTAGACTAACAATCCTCTTGTTAAATCCGTTGGTACCAGCAGAATATCCAACATTTGGTGTTGGCATGAGAGGTTTGTTTTGGTTTCTACGGTCTGTATATTATTCTTGTGGTTGTATTTTGGGTGGGAGAAAAAGAAAAAGGTTGTCTAATGGCAGCAAGGTAGGCTTCTTGCGTTCTAGCAGCTTTATATACTTGAGATAGGGTAGTTGGGTTTGTAATTTTTACTGCAAAATTGAGATCATGCTTCAATCCCCTAAGGAAATAACTAATTGCATTCTCTTGAGATAAACTCACTCTTGTCAAATGCCTATCAAAAGTGGCTTGATACTCCCTCACACTCTCAGTTTGTCTAACTTTCTTTATTTCTTCCATGGGATCATCAAAATTGACCCCAAACCTTTCAACCAAATCCATGACATACTCAGTCCATGTAGTTGGTTGTAGGTACTGCATGTATCTCATAAACGACAAATGCCATTGGATGGCTTCCCTTTCCAACTGCATCGCTGCCACCTCTATTTTCTCCTCTGTTACGACCATTTCCATAGAAAAATATTGCTCGATCTTGAATAGCCAAGACCTCAGATCATCTCTTGTGAACCTCAAGAATTTCATCCTCGACCATCTAGAAGAATTTGAGTTACGATTGTACCTGGCAGGACTCTTGTCCCTATGTAATCTTTCTTATGATTGTCTCGTCATCGAAGGTCCATCTTCAGGCTTTAATGGAGTTATGTCCCTTCGATTCTCTCCAGGCCAGCTGCTCCTTTAGCTCGAGCACTGTGTGATCTAAATGCTTTAAATTCAAAATTTCTCCAGTCAAAGCTCCAACATCTTTCATAAGTTTCTGCATCATCTTACGCAATTCCCCCATTTCATTGCTAGAATTGTGAATAGATCGAGTACCTTTTGTCATGATTTTGCCAAGGAGCGATACGCTCTGATACCAATGTTACTGAATTGCAGGAATTCCCAAGAACTCAATGATTCAGCAGCTGATCAGGAGCTTAGCAGTGAAGCTCGAGACGACATCTAGGCTTGAGAAGAGAAACTGTGAAGAAAAAAGAAGGAAAAAGAAGAGTAGAGTAGAAAGTTGAATATCATTATTATGAAAATGTAATCTTTGTAATACAGTGATTTATATGGAATGAAATGCTAATTGACCTTATAGCTTGTACATTGTTACTAACTAACTGATTATTAACTAACTTTCAAACAACTTGTAACTACTCTTACTAACTTTGAGCTGACGTGGCTTTGCCTCTAACTAACTTTGAACTATCGTAGCTTTGCTAATTTGAATTTATGTATCACACAATTTACTAGATGTATTCTCTCGAATTACGTTAGCTGGCACTAATTCACCGCTCACTACGATCGTACCAAATTTTTGTTATCTCTAATCCCGCCTTTAAACCCTCTGTATTGATCTCTCATATACGTTAGGAGTGATGTTGTTCAACAACTACCTAAATGCGTACCATCTCTCAAGCAATACACACTAAATAGGCACTGTCAATTGATGACCATTTAATCAACAACAATAAACGCGTAGTTGAACAAGTAAAAAAATACAATGGCTCAATTATATAAAAATATAACAAAAATTTATCATACAAAAGATTCCATCAAAATCCTAGATAACAAATTAGCTATTCATAATAGTATGCACAACTACACTACTAGAATTCATAACCAATAATAGAAATAGAGGAAGAAAGAGGGAAAAACGTGAAGGTGAATCCTTCTCCTTGCTCCAAGTGTGTTCTTGCCTCCCCAAAGTCTTCTCTCCTTCCAAAGTAGTGTCTCACTCTCTCAAAAGCACGTTTTAGGATGTATTTATAGCTACTAGGGTTGGTATGCAGCGAATTTCCTTTTATATTTCAAATTGGAGAAGTTGATTTTTTTTGCTCCGGTCCTGGTCTGGTGAAGTGAATCTCGCTTCGGTGTCCGGGACTTTTCTGGTTCTTCTGCTCCGGTTCCGGTCTGGCTCGCTTTGCTGTCCATGACTTTTCTATTCAGCTCTATTTTCACCAAATTTTCTCTTATTTGATCATTTTTCCGCATAAGTTTGTTCCTACACATAAAAAACACGTAATGAACATATTTTCACTTCAAAAGTGGTGTGAACTCCCGCAACTCACACAAAAAATAACACACAAACACGCTCAAAACATGCATTTTTCATCATTTATCACCTATTTATCACACGAGAATAATTTACCGGTTTTCCAAGACACTCATTCTACTAGTATACAAGCTAAGAGGGAATTATGAAATAAAAAGTTGTGATTAGCGATAGATAAATATATATATATATATATATATATATATATATATATATAATTACAAGGTTATTAAGTAGATTTACTAATCCGATTTTGACCTCTCGTACTTCGTATAAAACTCTTGTCTCATTGTAATTGGCCCATTGTTCACTAATATCATCGGAATTTTCTCTCTCATCCCGCATTTATTATAACTCTTTGCTTAGTACCCAAAACCCAACCATGAATATTATTAATTAATGGTAATAATAGCAGTATATAAATGCCTCAAAAACCAAAAGCTAAAACCCCCCACCAGCTAAGAGATTTCAACTTTCAAGAACCCAACACATTGTTACAAAATTCCACGCAAGACAGTATCAAAATCAGCCGATTAATTTTCTCCGTCAACAGCCTTAAATATCAAAAGGGTGTGTGAAACTGAGATTTTGTGTATATATTTTTGGGTTTATATTGAAAGATGCAGAAGAAAAGGTGGAGGACAGTGGTGATAGTGCGAAAGGTGTTAACTTTTGCAATAGCTGCAATAGCGATTGTGGCTCTTTTATATGTTCATGTTGTATTTCCTGCCTCTGAAGTCACCAAGTTGCCTGATAAACTTCCCACGGTATAGTTCTTGAACTGTAATATTTATTTGATTAATTTTGTTAAATATGTTTCATGGTCTTTTTTGCCCCTGTTTGAAGGTGTTAATCTTTGTTCTCTCTATTTTGTGTAATAATGACTTACTTTTACTAATTACTGAATATTGGAAATGGGATCAGATGGAACGAAATGGATAGTGAGGATTCATATACCTGACCTCAGCTAAGTTGAAATTGAGGGGGTCTGATAAATTTTGTGTTTTTTAGAGTTTATTTGACTAAATTGTTGATTAGTTTTTTGTTTTTTTTATCAAATTGTTGTTTTAGGATGATGGTTGATGGTGAAAAATTGAAAATAGTCTTGTAGTGTTTTCTTTCGTTGTTACCTTTGTTCTTTGGTTATGGTTGTCCTTTAAGGTTTAGGTACTGATCTGGGGTGCTTTATTATTATTATAGCAACATGAATCTTCATACCAAAAGCTGAGTAGAGAGCGAAGCTGGACTCAAGAACATGCCCCACCTCATTTGGCAAAGGCTCCTCTCACTGCTCGCAAGGTTTTACACTCTCTCTAAATATATTTAGTTTTATCCCTAAAAAAAAAAAAACTTTCTTCAAGTAAATTGTATTTATGATGGCATTAGTGTTGGATCGTATGATTTGACGTATGTTTGTAGATGTTCGACATAGGACTGTGTACATACGAAGTAGTTATACATATTTCATGTTTTCACTTCTTTAGATTTGACAGTCAGATGCAGCAAGTCGAAATGGGAGTTTGGACAAGTTATGGAAGCCACCTCCGAACCGCGACTATGTTCCTTGTGTTGCTCTGAGTCCAATATATACATGTAAGTAATTCCTTGTTCCCATTACAACATAATTTTAGAAAGTAGCTTTGTTCGTTCTTGAATCAAATGTATATGATTTTTCTGTGTTGCTTATATTTCATTGCAATTTACCTCCAGCCCCTCCAGAGTCTCGAGGCTACCTGCTGGTGCATACGAATGGTGGGCTCAATCAGATGAGAGCTGGGGTCCGTATTCTTTGCATCTCTTTTCCTTTTCACATACTAGTGTTGTCTGTTTCTATTTCAATTTCATGATTATTTTTACTTTTACCTTTTAGTATCATGCTCCATTGTAATATTTATGTCGACAATAAAATATGCCTGAAGTGTGGTTTGGACCTCTGAGGTCTCTCTTTTTTCAAAGATCCGACTAAAACATCAATACTAGACTTATCTTTGATTTGCAGTGTTATGTAACTGTATTAGAAGTTAGCTGACTAATTCTTTTGAAGGAAGGTCTGTTATGTTAAATATGCATCTTTAATTAATGATAATCAAACTCAGCTTATATCTCTCCAATTGATAGGCCTTCATCACTTATCGCGTTCTGTCTTTGGTTAACATTTCAAATTGCAAGAAAGCCACTTAGTTCCCCTAAACCAGTATACATGGTTTGTTATAGAAAAGTTTAATGCATATTCATTAATTATTTTCTTTCTAAGGTGATTGGTCCTTTGTAAATATGTTTATTGTGTATCCATGATATATGCATAAAACATTTAGTTGTCATTATTTGTGGCTTTCTGCTGAAAGCAGTGGTTGTTGATTTGTAGATATGTGACATGGTTGCTGTTGCTCGTATCATAAATGCTACTCTAGTGATCCCTGAGCTTGATAAGCGCTCACTTTGGCAGGACTCAAGGTAAGTGATGTCCTTCTAGCGAGAAATTCCTTTCTTTTGGGGTTTCAAGCTCATTTTGAACTGTTGTTTGCAAGGGGACCAGCATCCTTTTCATCCTTATGGATTGAATGTACAGAGTAATTTATGTATAAAGTGGTGAAATTTACTCTTCTATGCCTGAATTGCAGCAATTTCTCCGATGTCTTTGATGAAGACCATTTTATTAGTTCTTTGGAAAATGATGTAAAGGTTGTCAAAAAGCTACCGAAGGAACTGGCATCTGCAACTAAAGCAGTTAAGCATTTTAGGAGTTGGTCCGGTGTAGATTACTATGAGGAAGAGATTGCACGACTATGGGATGAATACCAGGTACATAAAACGAATCTGCATGCCGGGAAAGCAAAAATATTTATTTGTAACTAATGGATGTGATCTTATCTTTTTTAGATCATTCGAGCTGCCAAGTCCGATTCAAGGTTGGCAAATAATAACCTGCCTCCTGATATTCAGAAGTTGCGCTGCCGAGCTTGTTATCAAGCCCTTCGATTTGCTCCCAAGATTGAAGCAATGGGAAAGGTGAACATTTTGTTGATGCTTAGTTCAAAGAACACGTTTTAACTGTTTCTTTGCCCAAGCTTTTTCATTAATTCAACTTCTATTTGCAGATGTTGGTTGATCGGATGAGATCTTATGGCCCCTATATTGCTTTACATTTGCGATTTGAAAAAGACATGCTTGCTTTTAGTGGATGCACACATGATCTATCCGCAGAAGAAGCTGAGGAACTGAAGACAATTAGGTAGATTTGTTATGACATATAGTTATCTGATAGTCAGAGCATGCGCATGTAGTTTGTTGTTGGCTAAAAACTAACCTCTTCAAAGAATAGATTGTCTGCTAAGAACACTTTTTAACAGGTCAAACATCAGCCGTCTCCAAATGAAATTTGCTAAAATCAAACGCATTGCACTTTTATATGCATTAGTAGCATGCTCATTGACTAGATTGTTTGACACTCGTAATCTGGTGATTTTTATTCATTATCTTGATCGTTTGCAGGGAAAACACCACATGGTGGAAGGTGAAAGAGATTGACCCTGTAGAACAAAGAACTAAAGGCTATTGTCCCTTAACTCCAAGAGAAGTTGGAGTATTCCTTTCCGCTCTTGGATTTCCATCAAACACGCCGATATATATTGCTGCTGGAGAGATATATGGGGGTGATTCCCGTATGTCTGATCTATTGTCGCGTTACCCCTTATTAATGAACAAGGTATATGGTCTGCAAACCTTCCTTGCATTGTTTCTTAATGTCTTGGGTGATTTTTGTGAGTTAGATATCTCACTTGATTGTGGATTTGTATGAATGTGAGTTAACTGTTGGTGAATTTGTATGAATGTGCATGCCCATGAACTCAGAAGGTCAGATTAGTGATGAAAGATTGAAGAATCTTTTACAGAGCAAAATGGGCCAGTAGAAAGTTTCTAAGTCGATAAACACGATGAAATAGTTTTGTCATGGGTGTTATCAAACACATCATGTCATCATCCAAATTGGAGCCATGACCAGAACCTGATGGACTCATCCGATTGAATGAACCCATGTCTAATTAACTAGTTCAGCTATGTTTATACAAGCAATAGTGTCTCCACAACTTAAACATGATTATGGATATCCAAGACCGGACTGTAAGTACATTGAGTATACCTCTAGAGTGGTTTTACATTCAAATTAAACTAACACAGAAGATGGAGATAGTTCCACAAAGACAAGCGTGGGGCTCACGATAAACTAATTCAAAACCTCAATGTGCTCAACTCTTGGTCTCAATGTCTGCATATGCGTCTGAATATCATAGCTGCTCCAACTTAATTTGGTCCAGCTAGCATAATAATTTGAACATTTCCTTTTAGTGAATGATGAAGATAATCATCCACAAATTTTGCCAAATATTGATATTGTCATTCTTTATAGCAAGTATACTTGGATAGAAGAGAACCGAAAAAAATGAATAGAATTTCTTGGTGGACAGAGTTACCTTGTACATGTTGCTGGTGGGAAGTAACGGGTATCTCATGGAGTTAGTCGAGGTGCACGCAAGTTGGGCCAGACACCATGATTATAAAAGAAAAATGCATAGAAATTGTCTTGGGTCTTTTGACAGATTTGTAAATTTTAACTGGAATGCATGATTTTAAAAAAAAAAA